TTTAATTAATTTGATGATTGTGGTAACCATTACATAATGTATACACATATCGAATCATCATGTTGTATATACTTTGAAGGAAAAAAAAGACAGGAACAACAAATACATCCTTAACAATCATTTCATCCCAAATTACGCTGGGTTCATGACTCCTGGGAAGCACCAACATCCATGGAATTGACCCCATTCTCCATCCCCCAAATCTCCCTTTAACATAGGAAATGTCAATTTGGGGGCCACTCCCATTCGAGCACAGGCCAATGAAAAAAGATAAATTAGATTGTAGCTATCAGGGTGATGGAAGAATATCCCTTATCTTTTCATTAACGAGCCCATCAGGAAGATTTTGAATGTCCATGTCACTGTAGGAATCCCAACTCGCTTAAAGTAGAACTTCAGGATTTAAACAACGTCAATGTGAAAAATAAACATTTATTACAAAAATTAATTTTGACATTCTAAAATGAAAGCAGACAAGGTGTTTTCCAACTCAAAAGGGCTGCTGTAAGCTAGAAGTAAATTCCAAGGCTGGTAGCAACTGACTCATACTCATCACAAGTGGCCTAGAGTGAGGAACCATGCAGCTCACACTGACAGGAGACATGAATCACCTCTGCTTCCCCATGGCCTTTTCTCCCCATCCCACCCGCCCTGTCTCCCAATCGTGATGCAGAACTGAAACATGCTTTGAAACTCTCACCCTTACTGAACCATTTCATAATCTCTACTTTTATCGTCTAGTTGGATTTTATTTCCTCCAGAAAATTTATTTTTTTATTGGTACATGACCCTTAACTGATGGCTTGATTTGTATCTTGTTTTTCTTTTTGGATCCTTGTTAGAAAATTCAATTCTGTTGAGGATTTCCAGATGAGGAGACAAAATCTGGCAAAGTGGCACTTAGTGTTCTCCGCAGAAAGAAATAAACAAAATCAACCCTAGAAGACCCCTTATTTGCCCTGTTGCCAAGTTGATAAATAGATGGGGGATTGTGGCAGACAGGGAAATAGATTCAGGGCAGAGAAGGGTCCACATAGGGAGGAGGAAAGCAATGCCAGCCTGGCCTATGCTGCCTATTCCTGTCACTCACATGCAGGCTGTCGCACGATGGGGTCTCAAAATATCTTCTCCTGAACTCCACCCAACTAAATAAAGTCGTAGTTACCACTTTAAACTACTACTAAAGAAGTACCTCTCCAAATGACCTCGGAAATCCCCCTGCCTCAGCTCTGGGGCAGTTGTTCCTGTAGCCTTCGGGAAGTCCATTAATGCTCCTAGTCGGGTGGGAAGTGCGAGTTGGGCACTTTCGCATCTCACTTGCTGGAACAGGTCAAGTATAACCCCAAGCACAGGATCAGCTCCACCCTGGGTACCCTCCTCCAGCAGAAGAAGGGCCTGGCCACAAAAGGGCTCTGCAATGAGGGGCTAAAGCTCAGAAGCTCTGCCTTGAGATTAGAACCAGGAAGGGGCAGGACAGGGCACTGGGAACCAGCCCCAGGTTGCTGGGCAACAGGGTTTTGAGGCATTTTCCTGTTGTACAAACAAGGGGCCCAGGGACCCTCAAAGACCTCATTTCCTGCACTCCCCACAAAAAGAAGCTTTGACAAACCAAGCTTTTATTTCCAGCAACATCCAGCTAATACAAACACACAGAAACACAATCTCGCCAAAGAGCTGAGAAGCTCTCCAACACACGTCCAGTGTCAGCATACAGCTAAGGCCACACGCACGCATGCATGCACACGCACACGCAACACACAAGCTCAACAAAGAGCTAAGACCACTACACTCATTCCCACGGTCCTACAGACACATCGTAAAAGGGTCTGTCCAGTTGCTCCAGCCACGGGAAGGGTGATGGCTTGAGCTGCCAGCTCCAGCTTTCTTTTCTTTAGATCTGTGGTTTTAAATCTTTTTGGCTCCACATCCCCTGGAAGTTTACTAGGCTCTCCACAACAAGGCTCCCATTTTCCTATAGACACAGTCAGCCTCAGTCTGCTTGTGTTCAGGAGGAGGACGGGGCAGGAGGATCCGAGTGGCACTTCCCATAAGAAGACAGAAGAGTCGGCTCCAGAGATGGAAGAGGCTTGACATCGCCAAATAACCACTGCAGCCGCTCTAGTCTCCAGTCCCCGTTCTGGAACAGCTGGCACCAGTCCTCAGTACTGGAGGAGCCTAGGACTTGGCTCAAGATCCCTATGCGAAAGCGACTATGGGCCAGGTAGGTAGTGACTACAGATCCCCAGAGCCCTGCCGCTCTGTCTACTTAGAAGGGAAATCAATAGCATACCCAGGAGTCCTGCCTGATCTCCTGTAGGGATGGGGGATGAAATCTTTAAACAAGTCCCTAGCCACTAGGCAGTGGTAAGAAAAGAGGGGAGGCATGAAGGTGGAAGGCACACAGAGCTGACATTATTAAAAACACATCCTAAGCTAGAAGTGGGGGGCCCTGTGGGGTCTAGAAGACAAATAAGGCATCCCGTGAAACTACAGACATCAGGGCCAGGGTCTGGTAGCACCTGAGTAAGGCAAGTACAGATGACAGGAGATGAGCCAGACCAGGGTCACACCAGGAATGATGAGGTCTGTTTGAATTCTCCCTGGGGAAACAAAATACCCAGTCGGCTCTCAAGGGTCTTCTTCAGCAGATAATCCCCAAAACATATCAACACAGGCTAGAAACCCCCTCGCTCCAGCCGGGAGGCCTCCCCTCCCCAGGGCGGGCATACTCACTTCACTTCGAGCACTAGGCTGGCTGTAAATCACCTTTTTACTCGAAGTCCTGTGGACAAGCCAGAAGACGGAGATGCTTAGTCACCTAGGCACTCATTCACCTCTCCTTGCCAACGTTAGAGGCCAGAGCTGAGAACTCTGCAGAAGCGGAGCGCTCAGTAGGGAGGTGTGGGTGGAGGGGGAGAGGACAAGCCCAGGGCCACAGTGAGCAGGGGTGGAAATCCAGATGCCTTTCGTCCAGGTTGGCTGCCTTCAACCCATTCCCCTGGGCCCATCGCAGCTCCAAACCACACGCATCCATGTCCTCAACCTCAGAGAACCCCAGGACAGCACCTCACTCACCCTTTCTTTGCTCCTGAAAGAGAAGAAACGGGATCATGGGTGTCAGCAGGACAGAAGACAGTTTGGCACGGGAAGATAGGGTGTGTCAGACGGGTAATCAGTGCACCCCGCGGATGGTGTCCACACACGTGGGCACAGTATCAGAGTCAGTACAGAGATGACACCCATGAACAGACCCTGGAATGGGGACAATAAAAAGAAGAGCCTGAGACAGATACTTACTGTCACAGTAGCCTCGGGTATAGGCAAACCAGATGGCAAAAATCAAGGCTCCCAGGAGAAGCAGTGATACAATGACAGCTGCCACGATAGCCCCCACATTCACCTCCACTGTGAGACACAAACGAGAGGTCAAGCGCCTGGATGCTCACTCGCGGCACTGATGAAAAGCAGACCCTGAGCCCCACCCCAGGTCTGAGTCACGCTCACTCACCGGCTTCCATGCGCACAGCATCTGACCTCTCGGATACCTTAACCTCATTCTGTGCCTGACAAGAGTATTCCCCAGTATCAAAGGCTGAAACAGGTTCGAAAACCTGAAGGGAAGAAAACAATTTGGTTCCTGTGTGAAGAAGCCAAGAACCTGTCTTTTATGTCTCCTGTCCCTCACTCCAAGTTCACCCTGTTGCTTGTTCTTCCTCCCCACCTTCAGGAGTTCTATAACTGTGCCGCCCACATATCTTTTACCCCCACCCCATTCATACCAGCTCCCCTGACTGGGGATCCAGGATGTAAGAAGAGTTGCTGAAGGCACGGTTCGTCTTGGGATCCGTAGGCATCTGCACCCCATCCTTGAACCAGTAGTATTCAGAAGGTGGGGAACCGTCTGATTCTGAGCAAGTCAACACTGCCCGGCTCCCAATGGTGGCAGAGGAGGGGATGTTGACGGTAGGCTTGGATGGAGGCACTGTCGGGGGAGGAGGAGAGAAGGTGCTGAACCCACAGGGCAGGGGCTGCTGGAGTCTAAGTAACCGACTAGGATGATACCCATCCAATCAGCTGAGCCTTCCACCCTTCTCATTCCCTTAGTTGCCACCTGACTGGAGGCTCATCCCCTCTCTGGCAGTGCTGTGACCCTGAATAGCCCCACCTGTGGGCACTCTCACCATGCACGAGCTCCAAAGCTTATCAGAGCCTGCTGTGGGTTCAGAGAAACCATTGGCTCCAGGCCCACCCAGAAGCCATGAGGCACGTACCAAGCACAATGAGATTGATGCTGCCCTCCCCATAGTTGTTGCCACCTTCCTCAGAGACCATACACGTATACGTCCCAGTGTCTTTCCGGGTCACAGAACGGAAGGTGATGCCACTCGGCGAGAAGGTAACTCGGTCCTCATAGGAAGCTACAGGGAGAGAGGAAGGGGGTAGGGACAGAGTGAACCGGAGAGCTAAGACAGGCCTAGGAAGGTGGCACCCGAGGTACGCAGGCACCCTCTTCTTCCCCCGGAAAGGAGGGCGGGAAGGCCATGGACACTTGAGCCCCACAGTGGGCCCCTCCCCTGGAACCCAGGCAGTCAGGAAGGAAGTGGAGCAACTCACCAGTGATCTTGTTGTTATAGCAAACCAGGCTGGTGGTGTCCCCTCGGACAAACTTCCATTCCACACGGGGAGAGGAAAAGCCCGTGTAGGAGCAGGACAACGTGACAGCTGCAGACAAGATCAAAATGAACCAAAGAAAGGAGCAGCAGCAAACGCACAGGATGGGGAACAGCCCCCAGGCACAGGCTGGGCTGGATGCTGCCCAGTTCCCAGGGGTCCCGGCAACTGCCCACCCTCCCTCTCACCCTGTCCACCCTCCACGGCCCCTCCCAACTCACGACTATTCTCAGCAACTTTGACTTCAGGTTCAGGAATGTACACATTACTCCTGCCCAGGGAGCCTGAGGAGGAGAACAGAGGCCTCATCAAGGGTGAACAGAAAAAGGCCGTGGAGAGGTTAGAGCAGACCCAGCCGATGGGGGCTTCTCCATGCTGACCCTAAGGGGAAGGGACTCAAGAGACTCGAGCACCTCCCAGCCCTCACACCTTCTCACCATCATCCTAAGTATCTTCTTTAACTGCTTTATGCTACAATCTCGCAGGCCAACACTTAATCAATGGAATCTTCCGAGTGCAATTTCTTTCATTTCTAATTTTCCCCTCTGTGACTCCCAATAATCTAATTAGATTCCTACTAGCCCACTGGCAGCTTCCAGAATGACATTTCACGGTTCAGAGAAAGCTTCTCAACAAATGGTTGCAGCCACTTGTCAAGACGGTGCTGGAGGGAAGCCAGCAAAAAGCTGGAGGCAAGGGAGGGAGGAGGAGTAATGAGGATAATAACAATACTCGACATCTGTAGAGTATTTGGTGCTTTTTAATGCATTTTCACATACATTATAGGACACATTTCATCGTTTGATCCTTGACACAAGCATGACGGATCGACAGGACAAGTATTATTATCCAAATTGTACATGAAGAACTGAGACTACGAGAAGTAGAGTAACGTGCCCAGGATCACATAGCTGGTTCTGAGATGGATCAAGGACTAGGATCAGGCTTAGGTCACCTCATTAGAGTCTCCTCCTTGCCAAATGGAGAAAGAAAAGGTGGGGTGGGGTGGAGGTCGAGGAAGTGAGGAGTAATGAGACTAATAAATAATATGGGGGAGGCACATCGGGGTTCACAAGAGAGGCTCAAATATGCAAAATTATGGAGGATTCTGGGATCGCACGATGCAGCTACAAACCTGCACTTACACTATTACTCTCATTCATGTTTTCAAAGCTCAAATGCAAGAAGTATGCTTCTATTTACAGCTTCAAGTCAGGGCCCTGCCTTCTTAGATAGATGCATAAAGACTTGTGCAATGCAAGCACATCTGTTAAATTCAATTTTTCCTTTATTTAATCGCTCACGAAATTGAATACGGTCTGTTGACCTCTGAGACTCTCCTTCCTCATCTGAAATATGAGGGGTTTGAACTAGATGTTCTGTAAGGTCCTTTAGGTTCTTTTTTTCTTTTGGCATTAATGTTTACAGAGTACATTTAAATACATGAATTTCAATCTAATATAACAACACTATGCATTAGTCCAGGTAAGTATTCTATCCCATTTTATAGATTAGAAAATTAGGTCCCTAAAAAGTTAACTGACTGGCCCAAGGTTTCATAGAAAGGAAACGGCAGAGCACAATTAGCATAGAGGTTACTCCTATATCCCTTTTTACTCCTATATCCCCCTCTTATTGTACCCTTCTTTTTTGTAAACCAGGCTGTTTCTCAGAAAAGCTATTGGTTTAATGAAGACAAACTACGCACTAAAATGTCATTCTTTTTAAAGTCTGGTCCTTTTTTTCTAAAAAATATTTCTAATAATATTACTTGGTATCTGTATATTTGTCATAATATTTTAAATGTCAAATTTATACTCGAATGTAATAACAGATATGGAAATTAAATCAAATAGCTTTTACTGAAAACTATTCCTGAGGATATGGAAGTCTCTTACTCAACTGTCACTAAGAATGCTGATAATGAAATGCCTCTATTTTTGCTCAATCAGCCTTTGCTGCTTTGATGATGGAAACTATTTTCCCCATTCTTAAATTTCCCATTCCAGCAGGTATAACAAAAAAAAGAAAGAAAGAAAATAATATTCTCAAATTTTATAATTTGCCACCCGTGACGTGCCCTGTGATGCTCAAACCAGATCTGTCTTCAGGAATGAAGGACTTACTGCTTCAGCTGCTGGGAGTGCTGCCAGAAGGTCCTTAGCTATTCAGCCCTCTTTGAAAATTCCCAGAAACTGGCTTGCCCTATGGTCTGCCTCCCACCAGACGCAAGAGTAGGAGCACCCAACAGTTGACCAGTGGGGTCAGGAGGAGGAGAAAGCCCTAGCTCCATCACCCAACTCCCCAGCCAGGGACAACACTGCAGAGCCACTCCTACACCAGAGCTCCCTGGCGTAGGCTGAGGCCTCAGCAACTCGGCCTCTTTCAGCCTCTCTCTCTGCCCAGTCTTGCTTCCTTCCAGTCCTTTCCATGGGTGTGGATCCCAAGCATACTTCCTAATAAATGTTTTGTACAATAATTGACATCTCAGAGTCAGCTTCCAAAGAACCCAATCTGTGACACCACTCAAATGAAGAGAGCATCTAATTACCTTTTTTTTTTTTTTGAGACACAGTCTTGCTCTGGAGAGTTCCATGGTGTCAGCCTAGCTCACAGCAACCTCAAACTCCTGGGCTCAAGCGATCCTCCTGCCTCAGCCTCCTGAGTAGCTGGGACTACAGGCACGTGCCACAACGCCTGGCTAATTTTTCTATTTTTTAGTAGACATGGGGTCTTGCTCTTGCTCAGGCTGGTCCGGAACTCCTGAGCTCAAGCAATCTTCCCCCTTCACCCTTCCAGAGTGCTAGGATTACAGCCATGAGCCACCATGCCTGGCCAGCATCTAATTAAACTAAACAAGCCTTTGAAATAAAGACATACACACATACACACACAAATCACAATATATGAATTTAATGATTATTCCTACATCACTTCTAACTTTTTTGAGTCCTCTCAGATCATCAGATCTAAAACACATTCAGGGCCGGGCGTGGTGGCTCACGCCTGTAATCCTAGCTCTCTGGGAGGCCGAGGCGGGCGGATTGTTTGAGCTCAGGAGTTCGAGACCAGCCTAGGCAAGAGCGAGACCCCGTCTCTACCAAAAATAGAAAGAAATTAATTGGACGGCTAAAAATATATAGAAAAAATTAGCCGGGCATGGTGGCGCATGCCTGTAGTCCCAGCTACTTGGGAGGCTGAGGCAGTAGGATCACTTGAGCCCAGGAGTTTGAGGTTGCTGTGAGCTAGGCTGACGTCACGGCACTCACTCTAGCCAGGGCAACAAAGTGAGACTCTGTCTCAAAAAAAATTAATTAATTAATTAAATTAAATTAAATAAAACACATTCAGGAATGTACCACAAACAGACACAAACACATTGGCCTACAGGCATATTCCTTTTTTCCTCATTATTCCTGACTGGCATTACCTCGTCTTTGCTTCTCTATTTTTGTCTAAAATACAGGTAACTTCATATGATGTCCTCCCACCTCCCTCTATTGCAGGAATGCCTATCTGCCTGTGGTCTGACTGTGCCAATACTCAAAAGCCTACTGTGTTTCCCCTGAGGTGAATGGGGGTGGGGGAGGGGAGAAGAGAAGAAAAGGAAATTAAGAATAAAGATTTCTTTATTTAAAAAAAAAATTTCTGTTTTAAAAAGGAGATGGAAGTCTACTGTGACTACATATCACATCCTGGTATTTGCCATACCATACACACATACACAATGACCTACTGATGCACATGGTAAACCAAATGAAGGAGATTTCATCTCTTCCATTGTGAAGTTTAATTTATCCTAAATTCACAGTAAGAAAAGACACAAAGTTAAATGCATCAACAGATTTTTGGCCTGCTCAGGTTTAGGGCCCATGTACAGAAAATCCATCCTCTGTCCCACTGCCAGACAAAGAGCTAACATTTATTGAGCACTTAATATATGCCAGGAACTGTTGTAAGCACTTTACATACACTATCATTTAATCCCTACCACAGCCTTCAGAGGTGAGTGATTCTGTTATTACTACTACTTTCTACATGGGGAAACTGAGACCCAGATCAGTTAAGTAACTCGCCCCAGGCCACACAGTGAGTGGTGGTGCAGATTCAAACCAACACAGTCCAACTGCAGGGGCTGTGCTACACTATACTACATAGCCTTCCTAAAAATGCAAATCTGCCACTTGCTTCAAGCTTTTGATGATTCCGCATTGCTTATCTGATAAAAATCCAAATTCTTCAGCAAGCTAAAAAACTTCCAGCACTGTATGACCCCGGAGGTAAGCTTATCATCTTCATCACCCACTCTACTGTTGCAATTTACCCCCTAGCAATACAAAACTACTTAAAATTCCCAGCAAAGACTGGGCTGTTTCACAATCTCTGCCTTTGCTCCTGCTATTTCTGCTACGTGGAATACCCTTTTCCCCTCTTTATCTGGCCAGCAGCTATTCATCCATATTATTGTCTGTGAAATCACTTACCACATTCCAAATCCTCACCAGAGCCTTACGTAGGCCTCTTTCCTAGGTTTTCATTATCCCATGCAAAACACTGTCAAAGCACTTTCTGTATTATAATGACATCACCTGTGCACAAGTATGTCTCCCATGGTAAATCCCCCAGCAGCAGGGACCGTGTGTTATTTAATATTCTCAGTATCCAACACCTAGCATAATGCCTGCTACAAGTTGACATTCAATAAATGTTTGCTGAACAAATTAGAGCATCAACAAATTAGGTCATAGCAGCCCATTCAGTAAGATACCAACTTGTTAAGGTTTATCTACAAAGATAAATTTTTAAAGCTGGCAGAAGGGGTAAGCCCAAATGAAGAAAAAACAAACTTCATTCAAACCCCAATCTTTTTAAAATTTTAATATTACAAGGCTTTTTAAAATTTTTCAGCTCATAAAAAATGAAGGCTCTATTAATCCTTTTTTAAAAATTAGTTTTACAACATAAAAATTTGCTTTTAAATTTGCTTCATCGTTTCCAAACAGAATTAACATTCTCTGTACATGGGCGATTCCTACTTGTTGTTTTGCAAAAGGACTGGTTTCTGTACCCAGGCCAGAGTGTGTTTGCAGGTGTTTGCATGCACAATGGTAGAGGCTGATGTGCAGAGCCAAAAGTGGAAGTGCTAGGAAGTCTTCTAATGCAAGGTCTAAAATAGCATCAGGAAGTGAGGACAAGATGTGAATCCATTTAAAACATCTCCATTGTCTTCGTGACCACAAGAGCAACCAAGAAACTCCAAGTAGGCCCAAGTCAGCTGAAAAGA